ATCTCCGGGGGCAGGGGGGGGGGAGAGCAAATCTTCTTTAGCCAGGGGTGGGGAGAAGCACATCCAAATGTTTCCTGCGTTTATAGTAAGCTGCAAGCTTTCCTGATAAGGACTCCTTTAGAATTTATTTTAAATGAAAGCGATGAGCATGACATGCTTCTAGTTAGGTTCTTAACAAAAACAACATAGTCTTATAAATACCATTGCTATTAATAAACACCAGGGAAAATCAGAAGCCATTCTACGCAACATCTTTCGTCACCCCTTTGTCTAAGTTCTTCATTATGCCCATAGAGGTCCATAAAGTTTGTGGTAAGAGGGGGCAGGGAATGGTGGGTTTGTGGTCCATTTTTCCAGCAGTGCTGTTCTTCCTGCGCTGGCACCTTTCCTTTCACCAAGGGCCACAGGTTGCTAGCGACTAGGGCAGCCTCCCCCAATCTGGAGGCCTCCAGACATTTTGGACTACAACTCCCATAAGCCACAGCAAACATGGCCAATGATGTTGGAGATGTTGGTTCTTGTGGCCCAGAACATATGGAGGGCACTACATTGGGGAAGGAAGACTGGCCCAAACATCAGGGACAACGGGACCTGCGGCCTGCAACATTTGGCTGGCCACAGGTTACCATCTTTGGCGTAAGGGCACAGAGCAGTGGGAGAGCAGAGAAGCAGAGCTATTCCATCACTTCTGCTGAGAGACCAGGTCCATTTAACTCTCCCTCAGTTGTCACCTAGCAGCAGCCATTCTTACTGGGTCACCTGAACTTTTTCTGTTCCAGCTGATCATTATAAGAACTAGCCCTGAGCTTTGTCCTCCCTCTCCCCATCCATTTTTCCGTGTGTGTCATGGAATGTAAACCTGAGGGCAGGGACGGTCTTATTATTGATCTTGCAAGCTGCCCTGAGAGCCTTGGAGTAAAAACACAGTGGGTAAATCAGTTACAGCATACACAAATAAGATGTGGTTCTGTTTTTCCTTTTGCTTTATGGGGAGTAGAAAGTTCACCTGTAAGAGTTTGCTGAGGGGCAGCAGTAGAAACATGCAGTGGTTTTCTGTATTTGTCCACACCTGGCCTTAGTGTGAGATAACAGTCTGCAGTGGTTGTTAAGCATTAGATTTATGGATTCAGGAAGAGAAAATGGTGGTGGTTTAGAACCTGACATCACACAGTTAAACTGATATGTACAAGCGTGTTGTGCATATGTTATAAAATACAGAACTGAAGTGGAATGCAGCAGACTCCTGTTACAGTTTCATACCAAATAATAAATAAGCTCAGTTCCTATCAGTACTGTAGAATATCTCGATTTAAAATACGATCTATTCTCAGCAAAGCGTGGTGCCGTTTGCTCGACTTTCCTGATTTTACTGCTAGAAATTACAAGGTTTGCTCTGGGAAGGGGAAGACATTTTTGCATTTCTTACTCATCACATTTCTTTCCACAGAGGTCTCATTTGAAGCCACATTTATCAGATTCACATTTTGCGAAACAACATGTGAACTGAAACACAACTTATCTGAAAATTCACACATATCTGAATTTTTCAACACACATTGCCCAGCAGTGTTTTAAAACTATGTACATATTAGAGGAAAGTGTGCAAAAAAATGAATATATTGTTGAGAACAACATACACAAATGCATTATATTAGGGGAAATTGCTAGAAAACCGCATACAAAAATGTTTTTATGAAGAGAAAATTGCACTAAAACGCTGGTGAACTTCCATGAGGTGCCTGTTTTTTAAAAAAAATGCAAAATGTGGAGAACTTAATTTAAGATTGGAAAAGGAGAAAGCAAGGGATTGCCAGATCCTTCCATCCCTTCTTCTATCAAGTAAGACTATTGGTCCACATAGCTCAGCACTCTCTCCAAGGTTTCTGATTATAGACTTTCCTGGTTTTACCTGGAGATGCCCGGGGTTCAACCTGGGATCTTCTACATACAAACCAAGTGCTCTGTCACAAAACTATGGCTCTTTCCCAGCGTGTAAATATAAAGACACATTTATCAGTGGGAGAGCTTTAAGCATAGCCCTGTTTCTTTCATTGCAGTCAGTGAGATTTTTAACATTCTGAACTTGGATTGGATATTTGCAGTACTATGGAATTGCTTGTTTGCAGCAAACAGGCATTTTCCAGGAGCACATGCTGTTGTTTAAAACAGCCTGCAACTAACTTGTCTGCCTCTGCCTGTGTTCCAAAGCGACCATTGTTTGGCATGTTAGTATATGAGTAGGCATTGTAACTAGCAAACATATATCAGCATTAACCCAACGGCACTGGACAGATGGGAACAGTTGCAAACAAAACAAACAAGCGAACCTTTTCAGAAGTCAAACAGCCAGGGCTGTAATCAAAGTCCCAGCTGAAAAGAGAGCATATGAACTGCACCTCCTGGGCTGGAGCAGCCACCTTGCCTCATCTCCCATCGCCTTTTCCTCCCTGCGGGCACAGAGTATACCTGTTCTGAGTAGATAAAAGGAAGAAGAACCACTTCCCTCCTATGCACTGGTTGCTAGGTGTGTATTATGTGCCAAAAATGTGAAGTCAGTTTGGTTGACAAAACTCAGCATCCTGACAATCTTGGCGCTCAATTGCGTTATGCCAAGAATGCAAAAACACACTCATTTCTGTGCATGCTCTCTCTCTCTCGTTGTCTCTTAGAAAGTTAGCATTTATTTCCCCAAGTTTAAACAACCTCGCCAACTTCTATAGAATCACAGCTCAAGGCTGTAGCTTCCTTGTTAACTGTGCTTACTTCGCTGGCACAAAATTCCAGCGCAAGGCAGGTTTGCAGTGAGCTTGCTACCACAGTTTACAACTGCTGCCATTTGTAGGAGTCACTAAATGTGCCTCTTCATCAGGCTGAATGGGGCATATGCTGTGGCATCTGTTGTGCTCATGCACTCAGCCCAAACACTCTTGGACTCCCTTCAAGTTAAAAAAAATTAAAAAATACACGCCTGCACAGCATGAGATCCACCAAGCTGGATAGAGGTATCCAGGAGGGCTGGGCGAAACTTTCCATTTTGATTTCTCTCGATTTCTTATTTTTTCCAATCTTAGGTTTGCGGTATATATTTTCAAGTCGCAGTGTAAATTCATCAGCCCTGCTCCCTTTCCTTGTGGCCCAGTATCCTGTAGCAGTTGGTCATTAATCTGAGAAAGAATGGCTTGCAATAATTTCTCCCTCCAAGTAAACTTCATTTCTTGCCAAATTGTGTATTTATTTCAGTGTCGTTACCATTTCTTCCTGGAGCGGTTTCAAAACTTCAGTCACATTTTAATGATTATTTGACTTCAGTGCACTGTGTCTTTTCAGATACGTCTTAAATTTCTATGTGACTGTAAATATATGTGTGTGTGTGTGCGCGTTTACTGAGTTTACCGTACATTGGTGGATATATTTTTGTGGTGTAAAGAATTTTGTGTATTACTTTCCTTCAGTCATTTGCCTTGGTAATTTGAAAGGGGCTCTGGGAAGACAACCTGGGGACACAGACTTCACCTTTCTCCCTCCTTTATTTGTTCTGGTTATGCCTTATTCCACTGTGGTTTACGGGAGCAGGCTTGAATATATTTCCATCAAGCCGTATTTGAACAGGCATTATGGAGATGAATTATATCAGTACGAAACTGACATTTTCAGTGAGAACATGGAAATATGTTCCATATGAAACATATGTTCAGTGAAAATTTCACAGGCTTGGCAAACAGCAAGCTACACCCTGCCTTTCTCCTCCAGTTGATCCAGAAAACTTTCTTCTGTTCGTCGTGTCACTAGATGTTTCTTTCAGCCACGGTTGCATCATTTTGCTTCCTGAGTGAGTGCATAATGCAACAGATAATGAATATCAATGAATTGGTTCTTGGCTCCATCCATACACACAAGAGGGAGGTTTTAGCAGGATTAGGGGAAATTCCAAGGTTGGCAAAAAAAATACCAAAGAACAACAATCCCTAACCATTTAGGAAAAAATATCCTAAAGGGGGGACTCCAGTCATGCTCAATAGGCATGGAAATAACTAAGCCGTGGGGAAGAAGAAGAGAAAATAGAGATGGAAGGGGAGGAGACTGTCCCAGAAGAGGATGTGACTGACTAGAACTCTGAACAGGAGCACTCTGCACTGCAATGTTTTCTTGCAGATCCTACATATGAAACATAATAATAATAATAATAATAATAATAATAATAATTTCATGTGGTGGTAACACAGAGCCTTCTCTGTGGCTGCTCCCATATTGTGGAATTCGCTCTTAAGAGAGTTTAGATTGGCTCCCTCTTTGTTATCTTTCCACCAGCGGGAAAATACCTTCCTATTTGAAAACTAGGAAGCAGAGGATGTTGTCGGTTGGGCTGCTATCAGGGTAAATCAGTATTTTAATGCTGAATTCTAAATGTGTTTTTGTTGTACTTTAACTATTGCTTTTAACTAGTTTATTTTTATCACCTTGTCTTTATAACGATGTTTTCAAAATTGTTGTAAGCTTCAGCTGAAAGAAGAAATAGGAGTAATTATTATTATTATTATTATTATTATTATTATTATTATTTACCCTGCCCATCTGGCTGGGTTTCCCCAGCCACTCTGGGCAGCTCACAGCATATATCTGAACATAATAAAACATCAGACATTAAAAACTTCCTGATACAGGGCTGCCTTCAGATGTACACTGCCTTCCTCCTTTCTGCCAGAGGGATAGCTCTGCGGGTTTAGAAGCCTTTCCACCAGTGTGAGCTTCCTGGGCAGAACTAAAGTTACTATAGCAGTTTATGCACTTGGTGAGGATTGCTATTCAAAACATGTCCCCTGAAGAGGCATTATTACGAAACGCATAGGGCCTAAAATAAATCTTTCTCCAAGCACTTGGAGTTCCTTCCTCCCTCTCCATTTTCCTGTCGGTGCTTTCGATGTTCTCTAGCCATTATACTGCAGGCAAGGGCAAATGCTGGATCCAACCCTGTGCATTTTCTGTTGTTGGTATTTTAAAGCAGTTAATAATCATTTCCAGATTCAGGAAGAGCCATCATTTCAGCCCAGATTTTTGCCCGTTAAATGGAACGGCATGAGATTTGACAGGGTCACTAGGCTTTTGGAAGGAGACATGAAATGTTTTTTAGTTAACTTTGGGTGTGGGTGAAATAAGATAAAGAATGAAATGTGTTTTAATCAGTTGCCTTCCCAGCCTGGAAAATCTATAAAAGCATGGGTCCAGAAATGTTAATGAAAGGGATGACCCCTGGAACAGTAGGGAACCCAGAAGGTCTACAGATCATCTTTCCTGCTGCAAATGGCTTTCTGACTGACCGAACTGCTCTCCCTGCTTTTCTCAAATCTTCTGCAACAATTATAACATCTTGTAATGCGAATTATTTTTATACCGAATGAATTAGCATTTCAGGGAAGATTGATGCCTTCTACTTTCGCCGGTCCCAGAGAAAAGATGGGTGTCTGTCTCGCTTGTACCACAGTGGGTTATAATTATAATTATAAAGGAGGGAAGAGCTAATTTCCTGTATTCTAGAAATGGTTTTGATGTGACACTCTTCTGTTATTTGTCTGAGTAAGAGACCAAGACACAAGAGCAGCACCTGCTCTGCATTGCTGATATCTTCCATGTTAGCAGTGCGTTCGTCAGGGGAAGGGTTTTAGCTCAGTCTTAGAGCATCTGCCTTGTATGCGCAAGGTCCCAGGTTTGAATCCAGGTAAGGCTGGGAGAGACTACCTGCCTGCAACCTTGGAGAGCTGCTGCCAGTCAGTGTAAACAGTTCTGAGCTAGATAGACAAAGAAGAAGAAGAGGAGTTTGGATTTGCTATCCCGCTTTATCACTACCCTAAGGAGTCTCAAAGCGGCTAACAATCTCCTTTCCCTTCCTCCCCCACAACAAACACTCTGTGAGGTGAGTGAGGCTGAGAGACTTCAGAGAAGTGTGTGACTAGCCCAAGGTCACCCAGCAGCTGCATGTGGAGGAGCGGGGAATCGAACCCGGTTCACCAGATTATGAGTCCACCGCTCTTAACCACTACACCACACTGGCTCAATATAAGGTGGCTTCCTCTGTTTCCTACCTCTTTCTTTTCTTCTAAGGCACAATGTCAAGGCTGCTTTTCTCCATGTATCACTTCCATCCTGCGCAGCAGTAGGGCCCAAATGGTGCTTTTCTTCTCAAAAGACTGGTAACTGCATGACAGGCACAGCCATACATCACAGCTTCCCTCTAGAATATCAAAACAGCCAGTATCTATAATATATCCGACAATGACACATCATTGTGTTATGGCCAGAGGTTGGTTCGTTTCGACACATGGAGTGGAAGGAATTATCTGCCGCCTTTCCAATATGGTAGAACTTGCTATTTGATGGGGGCAATGAGCACTTCATTAACGAGCAGCTGGATTCCGAAGGGAGTACAAAGAATCCCAAATATGGTGGTTACAGGGAGGCGCGGCTTCATGTGCCTGGCCTCCTGGCAGCGGTGTCACTACTAATTACCGAGGGAGAGGGACACAGTGGCAGGGAAGCTGGCGCTGTACAGATGCACCAGCAGAGCCAATCCAACACTCCAGTTGGTACACTGCGCTGGTCTACTGATGCCTTAGTATAATGCTAAGGAGCCAAACAGGGAACTTTTAATGCAGTAAGGGTTACCCAGCACTGGCCTCCCCACTGAAGTGCCCCTCTCCCAATCAGCGGAAGCATGGCAGCAGCCCTCCTTGCTGGCAGCTCCTGTGCCCTCACCGTACATGGGGTTTATACCTTACATAGTGACTGAGAACAGTAATCCTGAGCTGGCTTGAAAGTGGATACACTTTCCGGTTTTGTCTTTCCTTTTCCTAATATTTATTTAGGGGCTAGCGCTGTTTGCAATGTTGCGCCTTTACTCTTGTCATCAAGTAGATTGTTGTTAAGGTTCTCTGAGGGCTAGTTCAACAGGTACCCAGCATGTACTTCAAAATCGCAGTGGGCCCTGGGTACGTGTTTCTCCTTTCGCCACTGTACAGACAGCCTTTCACGTGAACTGGAGCCTAAGTAGAGCACCAATGCTTATGCAAGCAGGGACAGTCTGAGTGATTATTTTGCCACAGACAGATTGCATAGGCAGCCAGACACAGTTGCGAGGTCTCAGTTTATGTCCATGACCAGCACCTAATGAGGGAGCTGTAGCAGGAACTGAGCCAAAATGTTCTGGAGATGAACAAGTGAGCTGAATGCTAAAAGAACTCAGCAAGGGCCCAGAGGAGACCGAGAGGCTAATATCCTCACTGGCAACTCTTCATCTTCCTAGCCATCTGCTGAACCATTGTTCTGCTATCTTCCATTGAGTAGGCCCTTGTGCCCAAGGAGATGCTCAGCAATAGAGCCGTCTAGCCCTCCTATGCCAACTCTAAGCTCCTAACCAGGCAGAGGAGACTGGTTCACCAGGGCAAGCGGGCATTGCTCCACCAGATGCTCTACAGACAGCCACCTGCCTGCCTTCTTTCTCACAAGCAGTCCAGGTGGTAGCACACCCTTTTACCTTCCTCCTCCTTAGTCTCAGTGTTGACCCTTGTAGAAGGGAGGAAGATGGAGACAAAACTAGAATTAGTTGCCCCTGCATAGCATTGGTTCTGGATCCACCTACTGTTGGTCTCCCTGCCTTCTGCCCTTCCAGGGCCAATGGTCACCAGCCATCACTGGTATGCTGTTGCCATTACTCTGGATGCTCCATTAGAAGATAAGGAGAGCCTGCTGGGTCAGGCCAATGTCCCATCTAGTCCAGCATCCTGTTCTCACAGTGGCCAACCAGATGCCTGTGGGAAACCCACAAGCAGGACCAGAGCCCAAGAGCACTCTGCCCTCCTGTGGTTTCCAGGAACTGGCATTCAGAAGAACCCTGCCTCTGAGAATCAGGGAACAAGGCAGGACTCAGACTGTGATTGGATGGGTTATTGGAAAGCCTCAGCTAAGGCACCCATGAGCTGAGACACAGGCTGCCTTGGGACTCAAGTGGTTTTTTCCTTGGGGCTCTCTGCAGAGTTCCATGCCTCTCTCTCAGAGGAGGTCTTCCCAGAGTCTGGGTTGCACAGGTTCCTGGCAATCTAACTTAAATTTCTTCATATAGTGTGGGGAGGACATGGAAGCCCAGGACTCATTTCCATGTCATGCCACATATACTGCCTTCATACTGGGGCTCTGTCTGAAGCTACCCCAAGTTCCCACTCTGCTCTGAAGAATAGTCTAAAGGCTGCTCTGGACTTGAAACCAAGTGCTGTGGGAGATGGACTGCAGCTCAGTGTTAGAGGACATGCTTTGCATAGAGTCTGTCTCGGGTTAAATCCTTGGCATTTCCTGCTAAAAGCATCAGGTAGCAGGTGACGGGAAGGACCTCTGCCTGGGACCTGGTGAGAACCACTGCCAGCCAAGCCATTAGACGACACTGAACTACGCAGCTCTCTACCAAAGTGGCAGGATCACAACTTCTGTTTTTAAATACAAGAGTAGGCAAGCATTAAAAAATGAGTGATCTGGGTGAAAGAGTTGATTGAAAGTGAAAGAGTTGCTGGGTCCACCTACTTGGCATGTAGACAAGAAGAATTTGACCCCTTGCATCTGTCATGTTAAACATTCATCTGTGGTTGTGTCTGTTGCAGTGCCAACAAAATTACTCTGACATCAACGCCATTTCACACCCTCCGGAGTCATATGGGTTCATCCTAAATCAGTTTATTTGTTAGCGTTTTGCTGCCACCGTTTTTTCCGAAAGATAAAGCCGTAGTTATAAAACATAAAATCATAGTTACATATAATATGCCATAAAACTTCTGCAAGGCAATTAAGAACCTTTCTGGGCAATTAAAATGTAGATTTCCCCCCTTAGCTCAGCACTTGTACTTGCCCCATTCCAGTGGTTACAGCACGATGTCCTGTCTCTATGGGATTGCCATGGGATCGTAATGTTTTTGCTGTTGGGGGGGGGGTAGTCACACTGGTGTTCCATTTGTAATTCTATAACTAGGGGAGGTGTGCGTTGCAGTTCTGTAGAGGAAAGTGCATTAAATTTAAAGAATTGCATTTTCTTACTGATCAAATAGAATTTATAAAAATCATCAAGTTAAGTATCAATAGTGTTTTGGTCACACAGAATGTCCATCCATTTGTTTAGGCAGTGTGGGATTTATTGAACGTGGAAACCCAGCTCAGTGGAATAACCATGGTTTGTTCCCTGGTAACAAACCACAATGTAAAGCCATTGTACGTTGCTGGCTTATGAACCATGGCCTGTTTTAGCTATGTTTTTGGTGTGATGTCTGAACCCAGTGGCCTTGCTTAACCATTGTGTTGTTGTTTTTGTCCACCCCATCCCAGTTGCTCCCCAAACCACAAAGGCATAAGGCAAGAGCATCTGGAAAACATGCTTCAAAGGAGCAAGCCATGGATTATTTATTCATGTGTGACATGACTTGTGGTTTGTTGAACAAACCATGGTTAAAACAAACCATGGCCGGTCTACTTCTTAAACAAAAGACTGTCACAAGAAAAGAGTATTCCTGGTCTGTATATAAGAACATAAGAATAGCCTGCTGGATAAGGCCAGTGGCCCATGTAGTCAAGCATCCTGCTCTCACAGTGGCCAACAAGATGCCTGTAGGAAACCAGAAAACAGGATCTGGGCACTCTCCTCCTGTGTTTTCCAGCAGCTGGCATTCAGAAGCACTGCTGCCTCCAACTGTGGAGGCAGAGCAAAGCCATCATGGCTACTAGCCATTGACATTGACCCAAGTTAGTGGCCATCACTGTAAAATGTAAACAATGGCATTTAAAAAAACAGCTATACTTAAATATAATTTTATAAAATGACATAGGGAGGTAGAGTTGTATCAGTTAGTTCCATTGACTGTCCAATAAGTGCTCATAGCACTTGCACAACCCTGTCCCACAGAGCATTTAGTCACCCAATGGACACAACGCCATACAATATGGCTACTCATGTGCTGCTGGGGGGAGGGAGGGGCAGACACACACACATGTAATTTCTCTGAAGCTGGATTGATATCTCGAGGGAAATTACCTGGATTTCATGGAACAACAAAACAACAATTGCACAATTATGTATTGCATAAAGGCAATCCAATTATAAGGAGAATATTCAGGGCACTTGGTATTATTAGATAGGCCTGCTACTATGAAACATCAGAGAAGGGTATAGGCTTCCTGACTTGCATCTAATATTAATGTTATTAATAAGGAAGAGGACTATAACATGCATTTCTCTGCCAAATCCTAGTGTACCAATTAATATTTCAAGGTCAAGAATAACAGTGCATTAGAATATGCCAGTATTTAGTTTTGCATGTCAAGAGTAGTGCACGTGGGACACAATCCACTGCCATGTGAAATACATTGGAGATGTACACAAGCACTCCTATAATTTCAGTGGGCAAAGCCATTTTAAAAAAATAAAATACCAGCAATGCCCTGAAGAATGATGCTGTCATTACATAAGGCGTATTCCTGTTTTCTTCATGTTCTCATATTTATTGTGGTTCAAGTGTTGTTGTTGTTTTAAAAAGTCTGGGACATAATGAGCAAACTAAGTTACGCTTCCTTTTGTAAGCTGAGTGTCAGATGCATGTAAAGGGGGTGGATTTCGTTTCTTCATTGTACTTTAATTTTGCCATCGCCTTTTCAGTGTAACAAAAGTTTCTGGATTAATATGAAGACGCCACGGAATATATGGAGTGGGTTTGCCATTCTTAGGGAACGGTAGGGAGGCACTTCAAGGAAGATGTGTCTGTATTAAAAGAGGGTGAGCGAGAGCCACTGTAAAGCTGACCGAAACTGCCCTTGAAGGCGGCCTCTCTTGGGATCATATTCTGTTTCTGTAGCTGAGGTATTCGATCTCCCGTTCCGTTATTTAAGTATCAGTTTGTCTCTCCTCCCATTCTGTGTAGCAGGTGTTGGGCAGTTTGTTTCCAACACTATTTCCATGCATAGCAATTGGCTCGCAGGTCGCAGTGCATCATGGGCTTTGTAGCCTTAAAGGATGGCTGCCTAGGCTGCTGTCCTCATGCACGTTTATGAGAATGGCAAAGAGCTAATTTGAGACAAAGGGCGCTTTGCTTCGGGGCACAATCCTGGGAAATAAAGAAGCAAAGAAGACATCGACAAAGAATAAATAGAAAGCAACCGATCATGTGCAAAGTGCCATCTAATCAGAGTCAGCTGTTCTTTATAACCAGAGTAGGACATGTGCAATATGGGGATATAGTTTCCAAGCAATTTCTAGTCTGGCTGGTGTTCTGCCATCTTCCTCCACCCACCCACCCTGAGCACGTGTAATGAAATCCAAGATACTATTGGTAATCTGTGATAGTTTCATTCTGGAACTGTTAATCCCAGATAGTAAACAGCATGAGTCAGCCTTCAAAAATAATGATAGTTTTAAAAATCATGCAATTTTTCTTTTGTTTCTTTTTAAATGCGCCTTCTATTTACTTCAGTAGTTCTTGCTTCTTGAAATACCAATGGACCATTGAGACGGGTGTGGTGGTTACGTAGAATGCCAGTCACTAGATTCCTGGAGGTAGGAATCCCCACTTCCTGGAGGTTCAAGCCCCACTTCTCAGTCAGTATCTTCCTTCTTGACAAGTCAGTTATCTCCCAGGTCCATCCAGTCATACATCTGTGAAATGAGAACAATAGTGAACTAAACTATGGTGACTTACTGAGGACTATTCTACCATGAGGATTCCAGAATCTGTGCTGACCAAAGAAGGATAGGTCTAGAATAGATCAGTGTTTCCCAAACTTGGGTCTCCAGCTGTTTTTGGACTACAGTTCCCATCATCCCTGACCACTGGTCCTGCTAGCTAGGGAGTCCAAAAACAGCTAGAGACCTAAGTTTGGGAAACAATGGTCTAGACACAAGCTAAATAGCCAGTTGTGATCACAGGGGATATTTGGCCAGGGCAGTTGTTTATACCGGGAGTAATCAATCTGAAATAACCACCATTTCCTGGATATCAACTCAGTAGTCACTACTTCCTGCCTAAAGATGAACTGAACAAATAAGAGAATAATTCTTTGGCTTGTGATATCTTTATTTAAAAAATGTGAGTCTTATGATTATCCAGTTTGAGCACGCAGCAAGCAAAGCAAAGTAGAGATGCTTGAGGAATTATTTTTGTGCAAATTCCAATACGAACTGACATGATCAGCTCCTCTTGGACTAATGTGTGAATCAGAACGCAGTTACTCTTCGGATTTTGCACTTCTCCAAATTTTGTGATGCTGTTCTCTCGGCTCAAAAAAAATGCATTCCAGAGTGCACAATTTAGGACAAAATATATAGACAATATACATTTTGTGCTGCTTGTTTTCAAAACACGCGTGAGGAATCTGTGGCCCTTCAGATGTCGTTGGACTCCCAACTCCCACCATCCCTGGCTACTGGCCATGTTGGTTGGGCAACATCTGGAGTGACCCCATCCCTGTCTATAAACAATTGCAGATTAATGTGAAAGCAAAGTGGGTGGGTGGGTGAATGCCTGGAAGTGACATTGACTGGAAATGGGATGATTTGTCTGTCCCTAGAAGTTCAAAGCCGACTGAAGGCGAATCACGTATTTCTTTGACTTCAGAATAAATTCCCCAGAACGGCTTTTGCTGCTGAGTAAGCAGTCTGGAGTTTGTTTTCCCACTGCACATTGTACTTTATGGACTAAAAAAAGACATGTGAGAAATAGCAATGACCGGTTTTTCCATTCCATAAAACTTGCTCCACGTCGGCTGATTACTCTGGGGATTTCAAGGCAGACTTAGATGAAAAATTTGGCTTCATGTGTTTGCATGTTTTAAAGTGTTGCTCTGTTTTGCATTCCATTAGAATGTTGGAAGCTTCAAATATTTGCTTCCTCTGACTTCGTTCTGTGCATCCTCCGCTGCTTTTTAAAAAATGTTGCTGTATCCTAGTAATAATGGCACTCTGAAGATCTCAAATGACTTCAGAAAATCATTATTATGTACATATTTTGACAAGAGGCCATTGGAAACAGTTTGACACGTGCAACTGGAGAGGTCCCCTCCATATTATATTGCACCACCGTCTACAAGGACTATTCAGTTTGCTGTGCAGTCTCTCTGTTAAGCTTGCTATCAGGTGAAATCCAAAACCATCCTCTAGGAAACAGCGAAGGAAGAAAACTGACACCTCCTATTAGTGGGAAGCTTGTACTGCTTCATTTACCAAATATATTGGGTGTCACCCAAAAATATTTGCATAATCAGGAGTTGAGATGAACCAGAGTGCTAGGCGCATAGTGTTGCACTGAGCCAGGGTCACAGAAAAGACGCATGGAATTAAGGTAAGTGCTGCTGCCATCTGAGGGTGTGGGACTGACATTCTAGAGTGGAAAGGAATTTGGTAGGAGGCATCATATTTTGGGAACTGGCTATAAGTGATGTGAAGCAGTGCCAAGTAGAGCCAGTGTGGTTGTAGTGGTTAGAATATTGGACAAGGAATGGGGAGGCAGATGTCCAAATCGCCATTGAGCCATGAAGCTCATAGGATGATTTCAGACAAGTTGTTATCTCTCAGCCAAACCTACCTTAGAAGATTATACTGGGAATAAGGCAGGGGAATGGAGGAAGGGGAGAGAATCTTATTTACAGCATCTTGAGCTCCTTGGACAAAAGGTGGAACCAAAAATATTAAATAAAGTAGGCCAGGGCTTAGTGCAATTATTTGATTGGCTGATTGACTAGAGTGGAAGCAGAATGCATGTACAGAGCTATGTTGGCCACCCCAGGACATTTACTTGCCCCCCAGCCCTGGCCAGTTGGAAGCCTCTGAGAGATGAAAGAAAGAAAGAAAGAAAGAAAGAAAGAAAGAAAGAAAGCTCAGTTCTCTATACACTATTCAGGGAATAAGTCCTATTGAATGCAGTGGGAATTACTTCTGAGTAAACATGCTTATAACTGCTTCATTACAGCATGAAACACAAGCATGTGAAGGGACCTGCTGGTGTAATAAAGTGCATAACAAAAACATCCCAAGAGTGGAGCCTAATGTAGAATCATGTAAAGATACATGATGTTGGCCGCTGTGATTGGCCAACAGTATGAGGCCCCTGAATTGGCCAAGGTACCATATAAATACCAGAAACCTGATCTTGTGCCTTTGTCTTGTCAATGGAACATAAACCCTTTCTTGCACTCCAGACTCTCGGTGGTAGTTTCTATCCAGACCTCAGAACTCTCCACAAGCTGCATTCCTCACCAGCCCTGCTGCACCTTTTCCTTTGAGTACTTTTGCCTGGCTGGAATGTGCCCTTGAACTGTGATAATTAATGCCTTTTGGTTCCATGGGTGGAGGATGGAGAAAGATGTGAGTGGCAGGGTGCATGAGTGCAATGGGTGAAAAAACATATGACTTCTCCATGATTGGAATGTAGCCTGCTAGGCAAAGCCCTGACCTTCCCCATGTTTCACAAAGGTAAGTTTGCTGGGGCTTCCGGTTGTGTTTGTTTGAACACTGGTAGAAAGGTCTGCACAATCTGGGACTAAGATAGGAGTCACATCTATTGCTCTGCTCTCTTTTTTCCACACCCACTTTTGCCAGGACTGACTTGTGCTCCCTGCCACTGCAGGTTGCCATGAGTTGACAAGGTTTCCTCTCCCCTGCCTGAGCTCATGCCTTCAGATGCAGCTTCTGGCTTAAGGGACTATAGGTTGAAGAACAGCGGTTTGGATTCTTGGTATGGCCACATAGGGTCTGGACCAGCTTTCAGAGGCCATCTCAACAACAAATGGATTGTTCTCTGAACAGTTGTCCTTCTGGCTGTCATGGGCTAAGAGGCTCCTCCTTGTTCAAACCTGATGGGAGGCTGCATCTTCTCAGCCCATGTTCAGCTTTTGTGCCATGAAGAACCAACCTGCTATGTGAACAGTTTATCGTGATCACAGTTAGCTCCATACAGGCCATTTGTATTAGATGTCTTTAGACAGCGTCCAAGCCTGTGGGGTTTTCTGAAAAGCAACAAAGCCGGCTGGTTTTACCACACAAGCAGAATTTTAACCCAGGCCAAAACCAAGTGGGATTGTTAGATTGTGTGACTAGGTTCCTGAGTTTATTAGTTTGTTCAGAGTGCTGGGAACTGTAGCTCTGTGAGGCTTTGTCTTTTGATATGATGCCTTCTTTGCCTTGAAGATATTCAGAAACCTAAGTGAACTGGCTACAAGACCTCTCTGAAACAAAATGGCAGTAGCAGGGAGCAGCTGGGCCAGTTTTGCTGGTGGCAGCCATCTGCACTTCTTTGACTGAGCAACAGGGAGGCAAGATTAGGGGCCATTCAGTCAGCTACTAATGCTGAGCGATGGTATCTTGAGACTAGGCCAGGATATAGTTTCTCTGAATATCAGTGGCAGCCTGCCATCCCCAAGGGAGATGTTAACAGTCTCCATCAATAAGTGCAGGATGATTTCCAAGCCGGATTTCAGCAGCTCTGAAAAGTATAGATGAGGCCTCCTCCTGAGTGAACACATGGGGAAAAAAACCATTTACAGTGCAATTATATGACACAAAAGGAAGACAGATAATCTACTCTCAGGGTCATCTTCAGGTTTGAGGGGAGCCTCAGAAATGCGAGCTCCTCCAACCACCATAGTTTTATTTCTCACAATGATGTTTTGTCTTACTTTTAACATTTCTCTCTCTCTCTCTTTTAGTAATTCTGTTTTTCTGTTCATGGTTCGAACTGCCTCAACTAAAGCTCATAGAATCATAGAATCATAGAGTTGGAAGAGACCACAAGGGCCATCGAGTCCAACCCCCTGCCAAGCAGGAAACACCATCAGAGCACTCCTGACATATGGTTGTCAAGCCTCTGCTTAAAGACCTCCAAAGAAGGAGACTCCACCACACTCCTTGGCAGCAAATTCCACTGTCGAACAGCTCTTACTGTCAGGCAGTTCTTCCTAATGTTTAGGTGGAATCTTCTTTCTTGTAGTTTGGATCCATTGCTCCGTGTCCGCTTCTCTGGAGCAGCAGAAAACAACCTTTCTCCCTCCTCTATGTGACATCCTTTTATATATTTGAACATGGCTATCATATCACCCCTTAACCTCCTCTTCTCCAGGCTAAACATGCCCAGCTCCCTTAGCCATTCCTCCTAAGGCATCGTTTCCAGGCCTTTGACCATTTTGGTTGCCCTCCTCTGGACACGTTCCAGTTTGTCAGTGTCCTTCTTGAACTGTGGTGCCCAGAACTGGACACAGTACTCCAGGTGAGATCTGACCAGAGCAAAATACAGTGGCACTATTACTTCCCTTGATCTAGATGCTATACTCCTATTGATGCAGCCCAGAATTGCATTGGCTTTTTTAGCTGCCATGTCACACTGTTGGCTCATGTCAAGTTTGTGGTCAACCAAGACTCCTAGATCCTTTTCACATGTACTGCTCTCAAGCCAGGTGTCCCCATCTTGTATTTGTGCCTCTCATTTTTTTTGCCCAAGTGCAATACTTTACATTTCTCCTTGTTAAAATTCATCTTGTTTGTTTTGGCCCAGTTCTCTAATCTGTCAAGGTCGTTTTGAAGTGTGATCCTGTCCTCTGGGGTGTTAGCCACCCCTCCCAGTTTGGTGTCATCTGCAAATTTGATCAGGATACCCTTGAGTCCATCATCCAAGTCGTTGATAAAGATGTTGAATAAGACCGGGCCCAAGACAGATCCCTGTGGCACCCCACTAGTCACTCTTCTCCAGGATGAAGAGGAACCATTGATGAGCACCCTTTGGGTTGGGTCATTCAGCCAGTTACAAATCCACTGAGTGGTAGCATAGTCAAGACCGCATTTTACCAGCTTCTTTACAAGAATATCATGGGGCACCTTGTCAAATGCCTTGCTGAAATCAAGGTAGGCTACATCCACTGCGTTACCTTCATCTACCAGGCTTGTAATTCTGTCAAAAAACGAGATCAGGTTAGTCTGACATGACTTATTTTTCAGAAATCCATGCTGACTATCGGTGATCACAGCATTCCTTTCTAGGTGCTCACAGACTGTTTGCTTAATGATCTGCTCCAGAATCTTCCCTGGTATTGATGTCAGACTGACTGGGCGGTAATTATTTGGGTCCTCTCTTTCCCCTTTTTGAAAATAGGGACAACATTTGCCCTCCTCCAGTCTGCCGGGACTTCGCCTGTTCTCCAGGAATTCTCAAAGATGACTGCCAGTGGTTCTGAGATCACATCTGCCAGTTCTTTTAATACTCTTGGATGCAGTTCATCTGGCCCTGGAGACTTGAATACATCTAAACTAGCCAAGTATTCTTGTACTATCTCCTTAGTTATTCTGGGCTGTGTTTCCTTTGCTGAATCATTTGCTCCAAATTCTTCAGGTCGGGCATTGTTTTCTTTATCGGAGAAGACTGAGGCAAAGAAGGCATTGAGGAGTTCAGCCCTTTCTGTGTCCCCTGTTTGCATTTCACCATCTTCTCCTCTGAGTGACCCCACTGTTTCTTTGTTCTTCCTTTTGCTACGAACATACCTATAAAAGCCTTTTTGTTGCTTTTAACCTCTCTAGCAAGCCTGAGTTCATTCTGTGCTTTAGCTTTTCTGACTTTGTGTCTACACGTCCTGGCTATTTGTTTGAATTCCTCTTTGGTGGTTTCCCCCCTTTTCCATTTTTTGTACACATCCTTTTTTAATCTTAACTCAGTTAAAAGTTCTTTAGATAGCCACCCTGGCTATCTAAATTGCGCCATAAATATTTAAAGCAAGTGCATAAAATGGAATGTGATATAAGGGTATTACATTGGATGGCAGTGAGTATTTAAAACCTTTTCAGCCCAAATCTGAGTCACCATGGTCAGTGCATCCCAGATAGCAACAAGCACAGTCTGCTTCTGTTGTAAACAGGGATAAACTTAGCAGGTGATGTTAACCAAGCACACCTAGGGTGTGTTCACATTGCCGGCTTACTGCGCAGTCATGTTTTTCTTTTTCCAGTGTGATTCACAACTCTTCCTCCCTCTAGCTGTTCACATCACATCAGCCCAGCTTCATTAGTGTCAGAGTTGTTTCTCTTTGTGCACATGCCGGGGAGCACTGATGAAGAAGGGATGTCTTTGCCCTGTGCAAAGGTATTCACACCTTGACTAGAATGACTTATAGACTCCAACTGGGACTCAGCTGGTTGGAGAAACAATGCATCAAACTGTAGTAACTTGTTTTTCTCTTTTTATATTGTAAACCGCCCTATGATCCTTGGATTAATGGTGGTATAGCAATTCAATTAAAACAAACAAACCAAGAAATAGCTGCATAAGCCTAAATTTTTGAATCCATCCTGCAAAATAGCGACAGTCTGGACAGCACCTAAATTAGGAATTACATGAAGTTCTGCTTCTTTTTATTTGTCCTAAGTCTACTGCCAATCAATTTAATCTTGCCCTGAGTTCCACTCCGATAGTCGCCGAATACTTTTCCTGTTTTCACTCTTCTCCCCAATGCTCATAATTCTGCAAACCTCTGTCACGCCTTCTCCTTGTTCATTGTTATCTGTTGTCCCAAGTCCCAGCCTAATCCTCGGTGGAACTTAACATTCAGACAAGGCAGACATATTTCTATAACTAAAAGGACAGGTGGTGTATGATAAACAATAAATCATTCCATTGTTTGGGGAGGCTGAGATGAAATCGTCTCTCAAGGGAGGATATATTTTGCCTTGCGGTTTTGTTTTGTTTGTCTCGGTCTAATGTGGGTCAGCATCAAAGCTTCAAGGAGTTGTGGAGATGGAAAATTCCATTGTACTGAAGTGTTTCACTGCAGTGGCACCACTGCCTAGTCAACCTTGGTTTACTCTTGTCCATTCCCCCCCCCCCCAGTGCTGGGAGTTAGGAGGCGTAGCCATTCCTGTTCCTTGGAGCAGACATTATCCAGCTGTAACTGTTAAGTAGCTAAGGTGCTTTGAGAATTGCTCCATGCTTGGGAATTGTTCTACGTCTGGCTGGTTTTGACTTGAACTGTGCCAAGCTGGGCTAGACCAGTAATTAAATTATATTTGTTTTCACCATAGTTGCTGCTCTCATCCTAGAATTTACAGTGTCTATGGAACTAGCAACATTTTTAATATATATATATATTAGTTCTCGTAAGCTCTTTTCCTCTCATGTTGTTGCCGTATTTTTCAGGGATGTTGACCTTTTGTTTTCTTCATAAGTTGTGTGCCTGAGAAGCAGTTCATAGATCATAGAATTGTAGAGTTGGAAGGAACCCTGAGGATCATCTGGTCCAGCCCTTTGCAATGCAGGAATATGCAGCTGCCCCATACAGGGATCGAACCTGTAATCTTGGCATTATCAGCGCCACGCTCTAACCAACTGAGCTGTCCCATGGAGGAAGGGAAGGCAAATTGCCACATTGTATATCCATAGGGGCCTATGCCTCTTTGCCCAAATAGAGGAAAGCCAACTGGCCACCTTGTGTCTCTCAGCTTCTATGGGATCAATAGGAATGCGATTCAGAACAAAACTGTCATTGCCTTTATGGTGCCAGTGCACTTGGAATGCTCTGCACAATTCTGTCCACCTCACTCAAAAAGGACATTGCAGAAAATTTCAGAAAAGGACAACCCAAGTGATCAAAGGGATGGAACAACTCCCATCTCATGTGGGAGGAAAGGCCACAACATTTGGGGCTCTTTGGTCTGCGGCGGGGGAGGGGCATAAGAGGGTCAAGAGAGAGGTGCATAAAATTATGCATGATATAGAGAAGATGGGTGGAATGCTCTGGCCGTCCACATCAGAAGAACTCAGACTCACAACTCCATTTCTGCTAATGACTTTAACGTGCAGATCAGACCAGCACCTAAGGCCCACTACAGGTTGCAAGAGTAACCACGTTCTTGCTAAGTGCTTGGCTAAGCATGAACTAAGACGTTGACCCAACACACGACATGCCCCTGCATTTTCCTTTCGAAGGCCAGACACAGCTTTAGTATGGCAGGTGGCTGGGATGGTAGGAAACATGCACTAACCTGAATAGGTTGTGAAGTTTGCTTTTGCCACTGCCGACATCCCTGTGTCCGTGGAGATGGAGGCGGGATCAGGAAGGCTCTTGGGAGACAGAAGGAAGGCACCAAAGGTGGCTCCTCGACAGAAGGCAGTGGGCTGGAGGGAGAGGGGTGGCACACTCTTCTGCCAACCTGCTTGAACCTTCTCCTCCACCACCCCCAGGCTACTGGGCCCATCCCCAGAATCAGAAATCTCTTGTGGTTTGGAATTGGCAACCTGCAGCCCACTGGGTCCCTGCAAAACTAGCTGTCCGAGCTCTTCCCGCTCCTCATCCAGATTTAGCCACCCCCTCCATGACATTTCTGTAGGACTTGTGACACAGAGGGCTGTTTTTCTCCCTCATAATACAGTGGTACCTCAGGTTAAGAACTTAATTTGTTCTGGAGGTCCGTTCTTAACCTGAAACTGTTCTTAACCTGAGGTACCACTTTAGCTAATGGGGCCTCCTGCTGCCAATGCCGCGCAATTTCTGTTCTCATCCTGAAAAAAAGTTCTTAACCCAAGGTACTATTTCTGGTTAGCAGAGTCTGTAACCTGAAGCATCTGTAACCTGAAGCGTATGTAACGCGAGGTACCACTGTACTAGAACCAGACATCATCCAATGACGCTGGGCAGCTGGAAAGAATACTGTTGTGCACATGTACTCCTTGAGCATCTGGGCATTTGGTTGGCTGTTGTGAGAACAGAATGTTGGAGCGGAGAGGACTTTGGTTTTATCCAGGACGGCTGGGGGTGTTTTCTCTCTCTGTGTGATTCGAAGAACCGCCGTCCTTTTCCAGCCCATGAGCTTGTTAGATCTTCTCCTGACTAGTCCAGACCAATGCAACTTCATTTCCATCAGTTCCTTTTAGAATGGAATTACTTCTACTGTGCTCTTCACTATCGTAAATCTTCTTTCTTAACAACTTCCAGAGAAGTAGCTGTGCTAGTCTGTTGCAGGGGAAAAAAATAGCAGGCAGCTTTGTTGCACCTTAATGACTAACAAATTTATTACGGCATAAGCTTTCATGGGTTGGAGTCTGCTTTTCTGCCTCTTTGACATCCTCTGCCCTTTAGCAGCATTCACCTGTCAGAGCAATACAGATTTAGATGCTGGCGAATAACACGCTTGCAAGAAAAAGAAAAACTCACAGGAGCCAATAAATATATCATGTGAACAAGCAAATAGAAATGATAGAGACATGGTGTTTAAAGTTTAAATTCAGAAAGCCTTTCACTGTGCAAGTAACAACTCTAAATATGTTTTAGATTTAGAGTTGTTACTCACACAGTAAATTCACCACAGTTTTACTTTGTGTATTGCAGTATTGTAACCTTGTTGGCTCCATGGTAATGCATGGGAGCATCTAAACAGAACGTAACAGTTACTTCAATTACATTGTGTGTGGTGATCTTACATTATTCATTCTATATCACACAGTTATTTTAGTAAATTAATTTTTTTACCAAAATGCTTTCAGGATCTATTTCACTGTGTCCCAAGGTGTGGTTTGCAAAAGGGTTTCAAACGGTACATAGCAGAATTTTTAATTTTACTTTATCATAGTTTTCTTAGCTGCAGAAAACAATTTACAGATAAATTAGTATTATTAAAACTACCCCCAATTTATCTTCGCCTGAGAAGGGCTATGCCAGTAAGACTAAACTCTCAAAAGGGGTATGCAGTTATTTTTAAGTTTGGGAAACACTGATCTATATTGTATTGACACTATCCTGAAAGGAAGAAAAAAATATAGTAGAGACTTGAATCAATGAGCGGTCCTTATCTGCCATCCATACATCTGCTCCATTAGTTGAAAAAGCATGAAATGAGTTTTAATCCTGAAAATCTCATTCCATATTTATTGGAGAACTGCTGTTTGCAATAGGCTGTTTGAATAATTCCAGTGTATTGTGTTGTAGCTGTATTGTTGCGTACTGTAACTGTAGAATGGAGGGATTTAATTATTTTAAATACATTAATAAAGTAAATCACACACTAATGCTAGGTTGCCTTTTCGTGCAGAGTTTTGTGCTTGGATGCAAATGTGTGCGTGAGTTATGTGCACAGTACTACTTGGAAAGCATGCAGGTCCATTTTATTTCATACTTTTTTCTGTTGCATGGGAATAAGGCCTGGTCCTTTCGCAATTGCTGGTCCTATGTTTCTGAAAGGGACCAAGCAACAAGCAATACAGGAGTGTGCTTCTCACTACTGTTGGAATAGCACACGTATTTTGTATTTGTGTATCTAGGAGCACAAAACTGTGCACGGAAACCACCAGGCATGCTCCTCCAGCAAGGATATGTAGATAAGTCCATGCCATCAGATTTTCATTTCAGTTTATATAGTTCACAAAATGCAGCTTGCCGGCGAAGATTTACCTTGAAATCTTGCAAAAAGCCTTGCCCTCACTGTTGTGATGATGCGTTATTCTCAGCACCGTCTAATTTCACTTCCCAAGCACTAATTAAGTACATCGGAATCCGGAATAATCCCAAGTCAGTGGAAATCTATATAAAGGATGCATCAGTTTCCCAGGAAATTCCAGTAGAATATGGTTTTACTTGACAGATCCCAGAGTGGTAACCTTGTTAGTCTGTTGGAGGGAGGGAGAGAAACGCAAAGAGTTTCGCGGTGATTTAAGGACTTAAGAAATGCATTGTGGCTTGTGGCCCAAAGGACACTTCATCGTTGTCAGGAGCTGCGGTGATCTGTGGACAGCTGCCCTGTGTGTTGTCACTGAACTACAGCTTCTCAGTGAAGCATGCTCAGGCCTTATTAATATTATGAGCTCTGGCATATTCCTGTTTGGCCCTGGCCTCTGGTTTGCTTCTCAACCGTGGCTCCTTGTTTGACCTTTGCTTCTGACTTACTTTTCTGTCCTCCTGACTACTGGCTTGTCCTATGGCTTCTGGCTCCTGGATCTTCCCACACTGCAGCCCACAGCCCAGCCATGACAATCAGATATGTGAAATGGCCACCAAGTTGCTTTAAACCACTTTCATACTTAGGGACTGCGTCTCAGTCACAGGGCAGGTGCTTTGCATGATGAAGGTTCTGTGTCACTAGCATCTCCAGGTAGGGCTGGCAGAGACTCCTGCCTGAAATCCCAAAGTGCTGCTGCCAGTCAGTGTAATCCGTACTGAGATGGATGAACCAGTGGTATGACTTGGCATAAACTTCCCATGTTCAGAATGGACACCCTGTAGGTGTTTATTTACATGGTTGCTCTTTTCATCTGTAGGTGCTAGTTGTGAGTAGCTTTGTCCATGATAACTAGATCTTTCATTCATTTCATTATACTGTACATTCTTATTTATTTATGCTCCGCTTAGGATTGTGAAACACTGCTGTCTCTTGGATTGCATGAACATTTGACCTTACTTTCTATAATAAAAAAGCTCCTTCCTCTCTGTATATATGATGCACCTCTGTAGCACAACGGATAAGTGCGTCTGGCTGTTAACCAGAAGGTTAGTGGTTTGAGCCCATCCAGGGACAGCAATGAGCAGGATTCCTGCATTGCAGAGGGTTGGACTAGATGATCATTGAGGTTCCTTCCAACTCTACGATTCTCTGATGCTTAGATGGCCACTTCATAGGAAGCTGCCTTATTCACTTGTCATGCTAAGCCAAACCATGGCTTAGTGCAGATCCACAAGTGTGGGGGCTCCAGGAGAGAAGATTACGGCTGTTTAGTTCCTCCTTAGTTGTTTTGCTTGCACTGCACTGAGTTAAGATGTGGCTTGACTTAGCATGTCATCTGAACCCAGGCTCAAGATTCAGCTGTCCTGAACAATCCATGAGCTGTAAGCCACAGGACAAACCATGGTTACAGCTCATGGTTAGTCTGGAGTTCATGGTTAGTCCCTTATCCTTTTCATGCCTGCATGTAAATTGACCACATTATTCAAGCCTATTTACATAGGATTCAGGTTGCTTGAACCCTACATCTCCACATGGATGGGCAGGCATAGAGGGAAGAGGAACTACCATTCCTTATGATAGTTATCAGGAAAGGCTGTTGTCCATTTCAGCCCAGATGTTATGGCAGAGTTGTGGCTACCAAGTCTCATGCTTCTTGCTCCTCTTTCCCCCATAATATCTAGTGACATAAAATGTGTAATGTGGCATGATAGAATTAAACATGTCTAGGCACAGTTCATGTGGTTGATTTCTCTGCAGGCAAAAAGAAAGAAAGAAAGAAAGGATTGTGTACCCATGTACACACAGCATCTGCCCAGTCCCCAAAGTGGCTTTTCTTTATTAATTAAGAGGCTGTCAGGATTTCAATAAACACACTTGCACATAACATTTAGCTAGGCCCTGAGACATCAATCAAAGCCCAGGAGGTATTCCCAAACATGCTTAACTAGGAGCAAGTCCCACCGAACTCGGTGAACTTATTTCTGCATACTTATGTGTACATTCACACTGTACTTTGCAAGCTCATTTATGCCCAATTCAGTTTGCAGTTGTGTGCAATACTTTACCAGTGGCATTTATTGAACACTTCTGTGCTAGCATTTTATGATGCCACAGATAAAAGCTGGAAAATTGCTGAAGATAAGCACAATAGTAAAGAGTAAGTTTCCAGCTTTGTCTGAGAAAAAAGTTGGCAGGTTGCTTACCTTTGATCTTAGGGTTTAATGAGTTCTAAGAGAAAGTGATGCACTCTGGGAAGAAGCTGGCCAGGGATATCTTGGGGCTGCTTTCATTATAGGGTGCTCTCTTGAAGGTCATCTTATGGTTCATTACGAAAGCTCTGGTTTCTATATTTGCATTAAAGGGAGACTGATCATACAAGAGAGAATACAAAGCCTTTTGATTCACAATGGTGATCAGATTTTTTATTATTATTATAAAAAAGATACCTTCTGGCTTACTCTCATATCTCAGGTGGCTGACGTCGATGCATTTAGGAGAGCATTAATACTCCGCCTAATTGCTATTAATATTCCTGTTTAAAGTAATCATACTATCATTTATATCAAATTAGAGCCATTCAGTGCTGTATGCCTGGAGATTAGTGGAAAATCTGCTGTTTGTTTGCAGATATTCAATAGTTCACCTAGTCCAACTAGACTTAAAATCAAAGGACATTGCCCAGAAATCAAGGGAATGGAAACAAATTATCCCCAGAGCAGGAACATGTTAGTGTTTTCTGTGACATATTATCCTGTGCATAAGCCCTTAGAACAATCTGTTTGAAACAGAAGTAAGTTTCATAGGTGCATAAATAAATTCCAGTCGCCCGGAGCCTGTCTCAGATTGGTGTTTGTGGTAGCATTGCACATCATGTACTGGAAAAAAGAAGAGTGCATAGACAATGGAGAAGCAGGCAGAGCTCCAGGCTAACACCGTGGCGGCTTCGTGTCTCTCTCGCATGGAACATGCCGATGTCAAAGCAAAATCAACTCAGAGCCCTGTGTGGACACACTAAATCACAGCACTTGCTCATGCTGTACATCTTTACTTCTGTTTCCTCACCAGCCAATGGTTAGTAGAATCTCAAATCTTTAGCATCTATGTGTTGAGTGCAAAGACCTGAAGGGGACTTCTGTGCACTGAGCATAAATGGAAGCCCCCATGGCAATGGAAACCGGAAGAAGGCTAATGTGTATTTTCAAATTCTGTATCTCAGTATCATTTTTTATTTCAATTCCACATCTTTTTCTTCGTTCTCTACATCTCCTTATCAACTAAGAATTTTCATCTGAGCAAGTGGACTCTAGTCCCTTAGACACTTTTGTTGCAGCGAATCGGTTAGGGCCCCTTAAGATGGGTGTTGTGCTCTTCTTCTTGCTGTTGTGTTTTGCAACATGTCAGTTGCACGCTAATAGTTCATTAGTGCTGGATTGGCCATCCATTCATCATTCCACTTCAGTCGCTTTTCTGTGATGTTTCCCTAATGTTATTGCATTATTATTTCTGTCCAGAAGGGCAGCAAGCCGCTGTCGCCAACCCAAACATTTGTGGTGTAAAAAAAGTCTCAGGATTTCAGCAGTAAGTTATTAGCCATGCGCTGACCGGAAGCAAAGCAGTATGACCTCCACAAAATGTCTGCAGGAGCAAAGAGTGTTGAAAGTCTGGTTTTGTATAACTACCCCAATGCCATCATCAGGGTATAGTGTAGTCGTTAGAGTGTCAGACCTGGGAGACTAGGATTCAACTTCCTGCTGAAGTCCACTAGGCCATTCTTGGGTCAGTCATTACCTCCCATCCTAACTTACCTCGCAGGGTAGTTGTGGATATTAAATGAGGACGGTGAGAACCATGTGTTCTCCCTTGAGCTTCTTGGAGGAAGAGATGGACTATAAATGCAATTTTTAAAAAAGCAAATACACGAATCATGAGTGTAGATGATCATAAATGCAAAACAAAAATGACCTCTAGAGGGGCCCTTAGTATTTGCAATGTCGTGAAGCTTTCTTTCTTTTTTAATTGCTGTAACAGAGGCAACCCACTGTGATTTTACTCCAGCCTTTTCACACAGTCATGTATCTTGTGAACAGTACCCACCACACGTAGCAACTGCTACAGGAACAAGCAGATGTGGTAAATACCCATTGTCACCACAAGGGGCCTTGCCCAGAGGAAACATTCACTGTGTGAAGCAAAGTCTGTTAATAAAATTTAAAAAGTAACTAGCAAATTGGCCCTTTTATGTATTAACTTTTTTAAAAGTGTGGTTGGGAGATAGTCAACTGTTGAGAAGTGTTTGATGACTTAGAGCATAAAACAGAGGCCGATCTGAAATATGTGTGCACAAGCTTGAATCAGTGCTATGAAGTGGAGCAAATTGAAATCAGGGTGGTGGTGGAGGCAGAATCCTGTACGAAAATCCTTTCAGCTGTGGAATAGACTCTCTAAGGAGTGATGGAAACCCCTGCACTGGAGTATTTTAAAACCTTCACTGTGCAAAGCACCGGGGACCAAATCTGTATTGGTGGGTAGATGATGTAACAGTTTTTTTTCCCCCATCACTGTGATTCAATAAACAATCAATCTTCAAAGGGCTAATCCTGTTACTCAGCAATTCCAGGTAAATAAACCAAAGGCTGCATTCAGCAGGGACTGACATTTCATAGGAAGTATCAGGCTGCAGCTCCAAGTGCAGTATTTGCCCCTTGATTTCAGTTCATAAATTTGAAAATCTGAAGCTACTTGTTTTTTTAAGTAGTCACAACGCTGAGTCACACTTTATAATGCGTTTGTATTTGCCATAAATACACCGGTGGCTGCTGCAATTGGCAAGTCTCAGGGGGAGATGAGTGGCTCCAATCAACAGTGCACATGTACGGGGAGTTGTGATTGGATGCAGCTGCCTGTTGCATGCATAATGTATATTCGCAGACGCATGTTTCCCTTTCACACTTTAGGGCAGAGCTTTCCAAACTTTTCATGTGGGTGACACACTTTTCAGACATGCATCATTCTATGACATGGTAGTTCAGTTTTACTAGCAAACCCGGGGGTTAAACTAACCCCTTTGCAGCCCTGGAAGTGTTCGCACGGCACACGGCCGACACGCTAACATGTCACGACACACTGTTTGGAAAGCTCTGCTTTAGGGTGTTCACTGATGCAAATATGTAGTCAGTATAACTGTTGCATAACGTGTGACTTGGCCTTCACAAAGATCCCCTTGAGCAGAAGGACTGCTTCAGAACCGTTTTGGGATCCTTGCTGACATCAGCTACGCTCATTTACAGTGATGATCCTTCCCTCACGCACAGCAATTTCCTTATTAATCTCCAGTTTCTTGATATGCCATGATCTTCCCATTAATTCAGATGCAACAAAAGTACTGTACAGTTTGCCTGCAAACCAGGATTTGCCCAGATGATTACTGTACCTTGATGCAGATGGGAATTTTCATCCGAATGAAAGTCTGCGTTGCCAGCACAGTTAAAAGGCAGAGATGAGTCCACTGTATCACTGATTATGAGGATGAGGATGATGGAAGACATGATTGTCAAGGTGGAAAGCAAAACATGAATTTGCAGTGTATATTTTTTATGGCCATCTCTAGAATGTTTGATACTTTTTTTGCACAGTGAAAAAGCAAGAAAGAATCAAGTTGCAAAGCACATGAGAGATTGCTTTGACGACAATAATAGGGCATGGCTTCATGTCAATTTGAACCTAAGTTTAGTATTTAAAATCCAATAGCAGCAGAAAGCAAACAGTTACATACAAAGGTCTCCCCCCCTTTTTTTAAAGAATCTTTCTCCTTCATTTTGGACATGATTATATTATCTCCAACTGCTTGCAAATCTTGTTATCCAAGTAATATATTTTGTACTGTCTGTTCCTGCATAAGTCCTGGGGGATTGTGGAAAAACAACCATCATAGTGCCACTGCTGTAAGTAGACTGCAGCCAGATATGCCAGAAAAGAAAAGTCTGTTTCAATTGATCTAGATCCTTTTCTGTGAAGAAAATTAGGCTTGATTAAGATAGCTTCATTTTCTGTCTTGATCTTGAACATAGATTCTT